TCTCATTTCATCCTCTTGACTAATGAGTTAAGTAATGCTCAGACTTTCCCAAGATCATGCAGCCTGTTAAGTGAAAAAGCTATGAGAACTTTCCGTCTCCAAATCTCATGTCTTTCCAATCTATCATGTATTGGTATGTGTCAGAAGAGTTGCTTTTCTTCAGAAACTCTCCACTGAAAGTGTTTTACCAAATTCCTCAAACCCTCAGACTTTCAGTCTCCTGATGGCAAATACTAATATCCATTCATAAAGGAAACAGTAAGTGCCTACTATGTGCTAAAGGCTCTGCTAAGCATTGGCAGTATGAACAAGACCACATCTCTATGCTAAGAAGCGCGGAGCCTACTATGGTGGAAGAAACATCAACGGATTATAAATGCAGTGACAGCCATGTGGGCGGCACTGTGGTAATACAGGTTGAGGAAAGGGTAATCGGGTGCGTGCAGGGGGATGAGGTCAGGGAAGACTTCCATCCCACGAGACCAACAGATGAACAGCCTCAATCCCATGTTTAGAGCAGAGCAGATGCTCAATAAACTAGCTCCTTTGGCTCCTATGCCCCATCTCTCTCATTAGAGGAAGATGTATCCAGGCAGGCAAGTTTCAAGAACAGGGGAGGGAGGGGGAGATTTCCCAGCAGACAGCACAAATGTGTTGGAAGGAACAAGCTGGCTTCACAGAGAAGCAGGAGCCTGCAGCCGGGACAGGACGGCACAGCAGTGCCCCTCCCATCACCACCGCCAGACCCGTGGCCTGTGCTTGGTGTGGGAGTCAGGGTGTGGAGTTAGGGGTGTGGGAGTCAGGGCTGGGTGCACATGAGGAGTGAGGCTTAGGAGGAGAGTGAGAATGTGCTTCACACAGCACTTGGCAATAAAAAGAGAAAAACTTAATAGTTTGTTTTTATTAGATTGTGTCCAAACTAACACATCAAGAGCTACCTGAAGACCTTTAGTGTCAAAATGGTGTTGCTATAAAAACCAAAATTCCGAACTTATTTAGAATTTTTGATCAAAGTATCAAGAAGCACTAGCTACCCATCAGGGTGGGGGGAAACCAACAAACCTAGGGATCACTCCCAAAACAAAACAAAACAATAAAAAAACCACATGGAGTAATAATTCAAATATAAATAATAAAGCTAGAAAGGTACTGGAAGAAAACATAGAGGAAGGCACCTTTACAAACTACTATAAGTAGATGTAAATTCAAAAACTGCTACAGCTGCCCAGCCAGTGTGGCTCAGTGGTTGAGCATCGACCCATGCACCAAGAGGTTTGATTCCCAGTCAGGGGACATGCCCAGGTTGTGGGCCTGATCCCCACTGGGGGCATGCAGGAGGCGGCCAGCCAATCAATGTTCTCTCTCATCAATGTTTCTATCTCTCTTTCCCTCTCCATTCTTCTCTCTCTAAAATCGATAAAGAAAAAAAATTGAAAAGAAAAAAAAAACTGCTACAACAGGTCATTTTCCAATAACTTTCAACATTACTTTTGATCCAGAAGTATTGCTTTATTCTAGATAATTTCATATGTGTGGAAAAACATTGTACAAGAAAGGTTATTCACTGAATTAATATTTTAGTTGCAAAGACTGGCGATTGCCTAAATGTCCATGGACAGAAACCCGATAAACTAAAGTTTAGTGCATCTTTATGAGATTGTTATGTAAAAAAGAACAAGAGACTTCTGTCCTCAGCCATGATGGAATAACAGGGATAGGATTTGCCCTCTTACCTTCAACAACCAGAAAACAAGTCAAAATACATGACACAATCGTCTTCAGGCCAGTGAAAGGATGGGAAACCTAAACAGAGCCCAGTGGTCTTTCTGAGTTGAGAAAACAGACCAAAGTTTAGGGAGGCTAAGGAGGCTAGAATTTGGGGAGAAGACCACAGAGGACAGAACTGCATAGACAGCTCTGGAGATCTACAAGAGGGTCCCCTCAGATCTTTGGCCAAGTGCCGATCTGTGCATACATGACAGGAAACTCTGAGGCTGAGGAAAGACCACCAGGAAGCAGTAGATCAAACAATTCCTGTTCACAAGGGCTGGGAATTGTTTGTACTCACACCAACCAGAGTGGAAATAAATCAGCCAGAATGGAAATACCTTATAATGCACAAGGCATTGGGCAATCCTCAGAAGGGTCCCACATTACTAATGGAGACAAACCTGCCATAGACAAAAGGTTGCTCAAAACATATACCAACAGTGTTAAAAGCAAGCCTCAAAGGATACAACTGATTCCGAGTAACTTAAGTAAATCCCCAAGAAAGCTGACACAATCTATTAAAAAGTGATACAACAAAATCTAGCACAGAAAAATGTAAAATTTGCATCATCTGGAAGCCAATAAAAAATTACCTGAAAGGCATAAAAAGAATCAGAAAAATATAGGCCAAAACCAGGAGAAAAACCAATAAGTAGAAACCATCCCAGAAATGACAGAGATTATGGAATTAGCAGCTTTTACAAATATATTCCATATGTTCAAAAAGATAGAAGAATACAGGAACATAATAAGGAATGAAATGGAAGATATAAAAAGACCTAAATGGAACTACAGAAATAAAAAACACAATATCTGAAATAAAAATACACCTTGGAATAAACAGCTGGTTAGAAACTATAAAAGAGAAATCGGTGGATGTGAAAACATAGCAATATCAACTATCCAAAATGAAGCATAGAGAGAAATAAGACTGGAAAAAACAAACAACAAAACCGCACTAGTAACCTGCGGGACTAATGGTATAACACATGTAACTGAAATCCTGAGAAAGAGGTGGAACAGAAAAAAATATTTGAAAAAAATGACAGAAACCATCCAAATTTGATTTAAAAAAAAATAAACTATGAACCTATAGGTCCAAGGAGAAAAATAAACCCAAGCCAAATAAATATAAGAAAGCCACAACAAGATCATCATAATCAAATTGCTGAAAAACAGTGATAAAAAGAAACACACACACAAAAATCAAAACTGCCAAAGGAAACTAAAAACACTACATACAAAATAAAAATCTACTAGAATCGCTAAAACTAAAAGACTGACAACACGGATGTAGAACACCTGAAACTCTCATCCATTGCTGGCAGGAAAGCAAAATGGTGTAGTTAATTTGGAAAAGTTTTATAAAGTGAGGCATACATCCTGTACACAAATGTTTATAGTGGTTCTATTTTTAATAGCTAAAAACTGGAATTAACCCAAATATCTTTTGACTGAACAAACAGACTGTTACATCCATACAAGGGAATATTATTCAGCAATAAAAAGGACCAAACAACTGACACATGCAAAACATGCACAGATCTCAAATGCATTTTATCAAATGAAAGAGGCAGACTCAAAAGGCTGCATAGTATGTGATCCCATAAACATGACATTCTGAAATATTATAGGGACTGAAAACTAATCAGTGTTGTTAGGGATGGCAGAGGTGGGGGGGCTCAGGGGAAGGGTACAGTGCAAAGGAACACAAGAAAACTTTTGGGGGTGATGATACAAATGTTCTATTGATTGTTGTGGTTATACAAAGGTATGCATTTACCAAATTCATACAACTACACTAAAAAGTAAATTTTACTGTTTGTAAATTAAACTTCAATAAACCTTACTTTTACTAAAAGCAGGGCATATCCATGCAATTATGTATTATGAAATCATTTTAAAAATAAGATGAATCCATGTATGCTGGTAATAGAATAATAATCTCTAACATGTACTGTTAGGAATAAAGAGTAAGATACAGAACAATAAATACAGTCTGTTGCCATTTATGGTTGACTATTTCTGGGGAAGGGGTCTAGAGTGGGAGTATATACCTTTTGTGCTGTTTGAATTATTTAATTTTTAAAATCACATGCTTGTATTACTTTCCATTAGAAAAAGAAAGTACATACAGGTCAAGAAAAACTCACAAGTGTCTGAGTCATGTAGGCCTGAGAAACACATGTGAGAATATGGAGCCTAGTGCCAGACACTTAAGAGGTGCTCAGTAAATAGTTAGGGGAAGCACAGTGTTTGGAGTTAATTCAGAGGCAAACCCTAAACAAGGAGAGCTCTATCTGAACACCAGATATGCAGCCAGCGGAGCCCTGCTCTGCACAAGGAGCTGAGTTTGATCATTCAGTTGGAAAGAGAAAGGAGCACCAAACCCAAATGCCCTGGCTTTGCGTTCGGGGAAGCTGTTTCTCAGCACTCCTGTGCAAGCACACGGTGTGCCCTCGCCTTAGCCTGCAAGGGGTGGGGTCAAGCCCTTTCCCGCTGAGCAGAGCCCATCCTGGGGCTCCTCCGGTGCTCCAAGTGCTATTCCCGAAGCCTAGCGGGTCCTGAGCAGCCTCTCCCCCAGCCCCTCCAGTCAGACACCCCCACAACTTTCTGAAGGAACAAAATGACCCTGACAGTCTCTGCCCTCCAGGCTGCACTCCAGTCTCAGTTCGTCAGGCCCTGCTCCACGCTAAGGCTTCAGGAAAGGGCAGATACGGAACCAAGGCCCCTCAGCAGCATTCGGTAAAAGGAGCTCCAGGGTTTGGCTTCTTTTAGTGACCCTGATTCCAAGGAAACCAGGAATCCAGAATGCAAAATGGACAAGGGAACAAGCGGCCAAAACAGCTAGTCTCCAAAACTCCTCCTTGGTCCCTGCTTTATTTGGATATGCCTCTCCTACCTTCCAAAACAGTGGGGCCACTGATGGGATCTCCTGTGCTGGATAGCCTTCTCTGGATGCCTGGCTCCCACGGGGCCACCACAGGTTCCACTCCTCCGCCCCCACAGAAACCAGCAGTGCTGGTAGGTGAACAGGGGGAAGAAGGTACAGCAAGAGCACAGAGCGGGACTGAGGTGGGAACCAACAAAAGGCAAAGTCCTTCCCAGGTACCCAGAGACGGGAGGACAGAAGGGAAGTTACAGCGGAGGCTTGTTTTCTCTGGGGCACATCGCTTGCAGGGTTTCCGACTCCTGCGTCATGGACCAGTGGGAGAAAGAGGAACACTCACCGCGGGAAGATGGCCGTCATCAAGGCTGAAGCATAGCCAGGCTTGCAAGCTCCCTCTGAAAAGTTTGCGTACTTGGTGGCTAACTCCGCAGGCCTAGGGGAAGAGAAGGAAAGTCACCGCTTGCCAGGCACCCAGCAGCCAGTGGGTTACTAACCTGTGAAGAGCTGTAGGTGTTTAAACCTTGAATAAAGTTTCGTTCCCTACAATCAGCACTTAAGTCCCTCTGCTACACCAAGCTTTCAAGGGGACAAAACCCCCCTCAAATAATAATAAAAAAAAAAACCAAACGAATAGGTAGATAAATAAGCAAGACCTGTCAATGGAATTTGGTAAAAGGAACTCACTGGGTTCGCACAGATTCTTTGCAGTAATGCTGATATGGACGAAGTCAGGGACTCCACCCAGGCCCCCAGACTGAGAGTGGAGCCTGGAGACCTAGAGAGAGCTGCCCAAGGCTCTGCACTCTCCACGGTCCTTCTCTGTTCCCAGCCACAGGGAACCACTCACAGTGCCACGCACACAGATCATACGTATGTTGGGCTGTTACTGTAACCATGAGATGACTAGCAGAGAATGCTCTGGTGATCTTCTGTTCTCTCTGACTAGACTGTTCTTCCTTGTCCTTCTCCACTTGGCTATGCCGACTGGTTTTTCAAAACTAAGCTCAGATGTCAACCTCACTGGGAATAATTCCCTGACCTCCGGCCTGAGCTAAGTGCCTCCTCTGTGTTCGTATAGTCTGGCCCCTGCCACCCACACTACATGCTCACCCCCATCGGCACTCGCCATACTGTGCCGTAATTGTTGGTAGTATGTCTCCCTCTTTATAGTGTAATTTCCTGGGCGTACAGTGTGACTTCACTCTGCGCTGGGGCCAGTGCTGTGCACAGGAATGGGACGACAGAAGTATCAGCCAGCCCTGGAGGCTGGTCCAAAAGGGTCTGAACAGGCACTTGTCAGGACACTGTGGAAGGTTCGCAAATGTCAGAGCAAGCTGGAGTCGAGAAGCACTCGAGGAAATTGCCAAACCATATCTTTATGATTTTGTGAATACTTTTATACTAACAGTTATTTTTTTAATGCTCTCTTTTAAAAATAACTTTTTCTTATTATAAAACTACATTTGTCACATAGCTTGTGGACAATAAAAGAAAAAGAAATTCATAATCCCCAAACCTCTCTTCCTTTCTTAGCAACTCTCTAAAAGGAGTATAGGAAAAAAAAGAAATAGGCAAACAAAAGACCCTTATAATTTTATTAAGCAACAAAATGACCCCGAGAGTCTCACTGTACTTTGGAACCAAGACAATCTTGGGAACCCCCAAGTCAGAGATGGCTGAACCTTCTTCAAAAGGCTTGTGTTCTAGCCCTGGCTTGGCTGCTGTGTGACTGTAGTCAAGTCACCTCACATCTTCGGGCTTCAGTGCCCGTATGTGTTCAATGTGGCGCTGGAGCAGTCTGGAGAAAACCACAGGGAAGGACAGGACACACTCTGACTGTTGGGGCACCTGAGGAAGTCTCGGCCGGTCGCCAGTTCCCAGTCCCAACCTCCCCGCCTCCACCCTGACCTACTGCCAAAACTGATCACCATGCACCGCACTGCTGTATTGTGCTGGGCCCCATGGTAAGTTTTCCCTCGGGGCTGCTTCCCACGGCGACTGGGCGGGGTCATACAAGGTGGTGGTGTTTTGGGGGCTGGCACCTGTACTCGATTGCCAGAAACATGTCATGTGTAAGTCACGCAATGTGTCCTCTGGGTCTAGCCCAGGGCCTTACAGAGAGTAACCGCTCAGTGAACTTAGACAAACTCATCTGTATCCAGTGCAATTTCTTCTAGAAATCCACATATTTTTAACTTTTCTTACCAGTGAAATTTAAAGCCTGAAATGCAAAAGCAAATGCTGAATGACAAGCCAGAGTAGGGGCTGAATTTGGTAGGCAAAAGAAAGTTGAAGGCTTAACAGGAACATTTACATAACAATATGCTCTTATGTAAACAACTGTATTTCAGAAACAAAATGTAAACTTCAGTTCAATTACTAAACTTACTGTAAGTTTGGGCTAGGCACAATGATTAAAACCTTATAGATGTTTTCAATTACTCCTCTCAATAGCCATGTGCTCTTGGTTAATTTCCACACAAGCTCAGAAAGGTGAAGAGACGTATCCAAGATCACAGAGCTAGTAAGTGGCAGATACTGGACTTGGACCTGCTTCTAACACCAATGCAGGAGCTCTTGCCGTGGCACTGCCACCAGTGGGACCACAGTAAGTGCCAGCACAGAAGGAGCACTGAGTCCGGGACAGCACACAGGGGTCAGTGCAGGTGGAGACGGGCTAGAGGAGAGTGTCCAGAAGTGTGCATGAGCAGCAAGGCACCACGAATCCCTCAGGTCCTCGTCTCCCAACCCCCCCCACCTGCCTGCCGCCTTGTACAGGAGGTTCCTGCGGTCTTTCTGAATTCCAGAAAGTTTCACAAAGAAGATGAAAGATGAATGCAGTTGCCTCTTTAACAGTGCACTTGCAGAGATACATGTGCAGTAAGGGAGACTGTTGGCCACCTTTCTTTTCCCTAGTTCACACTATCAACTTTTGGCAAGGTCTTCAAGAATAAGGGCTATGGGACAGTCCGGGTCTGTGGACTCGGGTAATCCATGACGGAGAAAAGGGAGCACAGGACAGCCCAGCAGGAGGGGCTCTTCCCCTGGCAGTGCAGGGTAGTCACATATCAAGGATGAGCAGCTCTAAGCCGCCCCCCCCCCCCCATTCAAAGAGCAACAGTAACTTCAAAAACACACAGCCCTGGGTACAGTGGGCAAGTCAAGTTATTACCAAATTAAAATGCCTTAGAATGGCCTCCTGACTGTCCCAGTGAGAGAAGAATAGGGAGAGTGTTGGGGATTCTGAGTCATTCAGCAGGCTGGGACCTCTGGGGCAGTTAGCGGTCAAGACCACCAAGACTAACAGTCGCCAACTCCCTCGGGCCAGAATAGTTAGTTTCTCTAAGGCACTCACACTCCAAATGCCAGGAGGCCCCCACAGATGTCTGATCAAATCATTCAGCCCTTGTTCTTCTCACACTCTGCAGCTGGCCTTTCAGTTGGGGAGCTTTAGCATTTCAACCAGTAAGAGCACCCATTGTCCTAGAACGTGACTACCGAGCCCCGGGGTGAAGAGTGTAAGCCACTGCACCCCAAGAGGAAATCCAGATGGACACACTGGAATCCAAAAGAACAAACCGACTTCACTCCCTTGCTTCACTCAGAAGCACTGAGTCAAAGGAATCAGTCCAGGCAACAGGTTGAGTGGGAAGAGGATAGGACCTGGAATCAGACCCGTTCTCAGAGGACATTGGCAAGCTGTGTGCCCCTGGGCGAGTGATGGGAAATCGGATTCTCAGCTCCCTCATCTGCAAATGGGAACCACTCAATTCCCAGAGATCGGGGAGGATGTGGCAAGAGGGCCCAACAGGAAGGGAGCACTGCACATTAACAGTGGTAGAGGCAGGCAGCCAGGTCACAGAGGCTTTGAATACTTGGCTCAAGTTTGGATTCTGTCATGCTGGAGAGTCACTGAGTGATTCCCAGTGGCGAGCACCCTGATCGACGTATGCGTTTTAAGGCTCATCATTTGGGAGGTGAGGAGTAGCACTGCAAATGGCTGAAAATCGAAGCCCACGAGGCAGAAAAATAGTCAGGAGAGAGCGATGTCTCAGTTGCTAAGGGAAGGATGTGTCTCCAGGGCAGAGGGACAGTGTGTCAAACATAGCGGTAGGCCTGACGTGGCCAGAGCGTCAACAACTGGATTTGGCAACATGAAGACTACTCCTGACTTTGAAAAGAGCTGTTTCATGGGAAGGGTGAGAGTGGGGGCATGAAATGTTGACTTCATTGGGTTTAAGAGAAAACAGAAGAATTGGAGATATGGGATAGAAACTATTTTTAGGAGTTTTGCTATAAAGCAGGGGTGGGGAACCTTTTTTCTGCCAAGGGCCATTTGGATATTTATAACATCATTCGCGGGCCATACAAAATTATCAACTGAAAAATTAGCTTGCCATATTTGGTCAGGCTAATTTGGTGAGGCATGTGATGTTGGTTGGTATTGATTTCATGGGCCTTATACGGCCTGAGGGACAGATGTTCCCCAACCCTGCTAAAGGGAGAGGGGAAATGGGGCAATAGCCGGAGGAGAGAAGTGTGGAGAATGTCTTTTAAGAATAGGAAGTATTTTAGCATGTTTATAAGCTGCTTAGAATAAGAGACAAACAAACGCATGATGCAGTTGAGATGGGACAGTTGTGGGAGAAATGTCTTTCAGTAGGAGAGGGGAGCGGATTTAATGCAGAAGGGTTGGTCTTAGCTCTGCTCCCCGGCCCTGCCCTGTGACTGCCCACTCACCTGCGATGCTAAGTGTAAGCACCGCTTCCCTTACGAAGCTCATGACCGCTCCTCTTCCGGGCCAGACCAGCCCACTCTGCCTGTGGGCCCCGCTTTCACCCTCAGCTCGCTCTCCTGTTCCCGCATGCTTGCTTTCTCTCCCACCTCCTTCCCCTCCTCCCACTCATCCTTTCATTCATTCACTCACTCGACACATATTTAGAGGCAACAGAGTCCCTTCGCGTGGATCTGTAACCTGGCTCTGTCCCTCACCAGCCGTGTGACTTTGGGCATGCTGTTTAATTACTCTGTGCCTGTGTCCACATCTGTAAAACTGGGATTGCACTAGTCCTTACTCCATCCAGTTGTTGTGAGGATTACGTTGAGAATAAAGTGCTCAGTACAATGCCTGGCACAGTTTCTTTCTCAATACGTGTTAACTGGGGCAGTCCCGTTGCCATGTGCCAGACACTAGCTGGGATTAGGGACACAATGACCAGGACAGAGTTATGGCCTGGCACTTGTTACACCGAAGAGTAACTATCCATCTACATACTCTTCTCTCCTGACTGTGAAAACTGAGCATGCTGCATAGCACGGAGTATACAAGTACCCTACGAAAGCCCTGCTGGACTGCACCCAGCTGGTTACCTTGACTTGGAAAGTTAGCTGACAGGAAGTGGGGGAGGTGGTAATGGCTGGGGAAAATGGAAA